CCCCAAAACCCCAAAACCCCAAAACCCCGTAATAGCTAATTTACAAGAGAATTTTGGCATCGAAATAAATTATTATTTAGAAGATTATTTCAAGATGAACCTAATGTTTGTCGCTTCGATTTCTCCAGAGAAAAACTTCTTTGGTCTAGCTAATTAAAACAATAGTATTCCAAGGCTTCCTAATCTGAATTAACAGATTGCTAAGATGCCTTAACTTTCTCGATAGCTTAGTAAGACATGAACTCACCTGGTAAGAATAAACGAGCATATTCTATAACTTTCTCTAGGGTCTTGATCAGTTTAATTCCACATAGAGCAAAAATAAGAGCATAAATGATAGCCCTAATAACAGAAGGTAAAGTCAAAGTTAGATGACTACCAAAGCTAATGACTAGACAAAGTCTATCAATAATCTTTTGCTAATAAATTAAACCAACGAATCATCTGAATAGAAATTTAGAAACCATGGGATAACTAATTTGAAACGAGGCTCAACTATGTCTCTTAACTTTGGATCAGTTCAATCTACACAGCCATCTCAAATAAAATCTTAGAGACTTAATCAGTAAACTTAAAAGTAAAAGTATTTAAGCTAAGTTGAAGGCTTAAGAAATGTCTAATCATAGGCTAGCATAAAGATATTTGAAACACCCTCCTATACATTAAAGGATAAAACCATTCAGAAGTTGGTAGAAAATGATGAGATTCAGAATAAGCTGCATAAGATGAAGTTCAACTATGCTGAGTCATAGCTGTTTAATCCTTAGTATAACTTCAAAAAGAAGGATTTAGCTAATATGGATAAGATAGACATTCTTAGGAGCCTAGCATAGCAGGAGAATATCATTAATATAATGCATGTAGCAAATAACTATAACCGAAAGATACCTACCACATCTCTAAATCTTAAATTTAGCTCTGCATAACAATATTTCTCGTTTGATGATCCTAAAGAAAAAGAGGGGATTATGAAGTTATACAATATGAGAGCTAGAGTGAAAGAAAAATCCAAGGTAAGTATGAAGAATGAGAGTCTATCTGGAATTTTTCTCGCCAAAATTAAGGGTAAGCGACCTAGCTAACCTAGACTTTAAGACTATGATGATGCACCGATGTATCAATCTTAATTGAATTAAACTCATAAAAAGTAATAAGACATCTCTAAACAATTTTCAGCAACTACTAATTAAGCCTTAATTGACTTGAAGATCAGCTAAAGAGAATCAGAAATGCCAAGAAATCTAGTTACTAATTCTATTATGAGCTTATAAAGGAAAGAATTCCTTGAAAAGACCCTCTTTGTTAAGAAGAATATTAAAAATGAACTCAAAGAAAATGCTGAAAAGCTAAAACGAAAGCTAGATAATATCTATTTCGAGAATGAGGATACAATTCAAAATTCTCCTTTATTTAAGATGTAAAAAGCTATCAATAAACAGAATACCTTAACACCTGAATAGAAGTTAGGATTATTATTTGGAAGCATGAAAAAAAAGACAGTCACTATTGCTAAAAAATCAGAACTAGATGAGCTCTTAATTCAAATTAGTCCAAAATAGGATTCTTTTGACTATGAAGGAGAGAATGTTCAAGAATTTAAGGAATAGCCTGAAATCATAGCCAGAAGCATGAATGGATTAATGAAGAGAAGTACATTTTGTAACTCAGTTGTTGATATGCTTGATAACGATTAGAACATGGATAGACTAGTTACAAAGTATTTCGGTAATAAGGATAACTACTAGTAAGTGACTGTCTAAGAGGATAGTAAAGAGTCAATCGATAAAGAAGGAGAAAATGGAAATGGAGAAATAATAAAACAGTAACCGCACTATGAGAGTGAGTCTAAGGATAATAGCTTTGTTTAGAAACTGGATAAAATTAATGATAGGTATAAATCATCTGAATTGCTAAACAGACCGTTTTCAATGTCTCAATACTTCTAGAGAAGAGACCAAGATGCTATTGATAATATGAACAATATGTTAAATGACTCAGCTGAAGAAGAGTTTAATAAAATAAGAAAGAAGCCCAAGAATGAGCTGTAGCAAGGATTGATTGTGAAGGAAAAGGCTCTCCCTTCACACACTCTTATCAGACGAAAAGCATTATCCATTATGAAGTACAACTACTAGAACTGAACGACTTTTCATTCTTTTTTAGATTTAATATAGTTAAAATTCACATAACTGTTCTAATCAATGATCAATCATTTTATAACCTTTATTTAATCAATATAATTTGAAAAGTTAAACTCATCGGGGTTTTGGGGTTTTGGGGTTTTGGGGTTTTGGGGTTTTGGGG